TAATTCCACAATATGATTGAAGACAGTAATAACGAAGAAAATTCCCTTGTACCTTACATATTGAAAAATCTACAACGAGTGATAAAAACTCACATAATTTGAAAAACTAGTTATATAATTCAATGTTAGTTTTGACGTCTTTGAAAAGACTAGGATTAGATACATGCCTAAGGAAAGAAAAGTAAATACAACAAGAAAGTTTCTCTCCATATATTCTCGTTCGCTCATCTTTTTTTAGTATAGGTGCAATCTATCCAACTCCTTTCTGGCCTTCTCTTCTTCTTTCTTCATCTTTCCTTCCTTATTAATCTTACCACAATATGAATTTCTTTGAAGAAAGAACTAGGTTATTATCAAAGTATACAAGGACAATGTGCTACATACGGTGATCTAGATAACTACGTTAAATCCACATGTCATTACAATACATTACAATATATCTTTTATGTTATATGAGAATTTTTTTGTATAGAGAAGTTTCATATACTCTTTGTCACTTCCTAAAGATGCACATCAGGATAATTACGATTCGAATTCATAACTTGGTGGAGAAATTCTTCTCCAACCTAATTATTCGTCATCCTCACACCTTCACCACCGCTAATGGCTAACATTATTAACATCTGGTCCTTTTTAAACTGTACTATAACGTCGAAAATATGGTACACCAAATTATCCTTTTTTTTCATCCACCCTNATCAATTGGTATCGATACGATTCAGTTAAGTCGTATCTAACACCAATTGTTCTATTTCGATATTACTCCATATTTCAAGAAAATTTTTGGGTCTCATGTGATTGGCCNATGGTACACCAAATTATCCTTTTTTTTCATCCACCCTTTTGTATCACCACATGGTAAAATAATAATGGCTGCCGACTCCATATCCTTTTCCTAATGAAATGACTTGCACCATGTTGAGTCCACCCACAGTCAAGGTGCTAAGTGATAGGTATACGACAATTCGACCACTTATTAGTCACTCCTAGATGGGCTTGCAATAACCCATGTCATAAATCCAACCAACTTCACATATATCTAACACCTTGTAGTCACAGTCACATAGCTGCCACTAAGGCCCACTAGACTTCCTCCTTCATTGCATTTTCCAATTTCTATTTGGATAACGTCCAATGCATGATGTGTTGGGTAAATTTTATCATATATGATTGAATTAGTTTAGTAAGTTTAATTCACTATGTAATTGAATTTTGGGGAAAGGTTTTAATATAAATCTTATATATGTATTATTCCATGCTCCGAAATGATTGAAAAGAGCTCCGTAATGTAATGTTAAATCAAATGTCACTTTTGACAATATTATCTTTCTACTAATGATATATATGATTTGATGCAAGAACACGATAATAATTTTAATTCTAATCCCGATTCACCCATTTAAATACCACCCTCCATGCAAGTTTCAGTAACTGCAAGTATATGGAGTTGTTTGCAATGATGACTGTGAGTTCGGATTTGTAAACTTGCCAAGAAAAAAAAATTATCAAACATGAGATTTGTGGGTTGTCTGGTTTATTTTATCCAATCTCAACTATATATCACCCCAATCCGGCCAACCAAATGGCTCTTTAATTTTCTCATTATTTTTTCACCAAAGTTAATGAGAATAATTTAGTACACCGTTTGTTTGAAGTCTTAAGTTCTTATACTAATTAGCAATGGTAGCCCTCTGTCCAAGATCAAGTTCTAACAATTATTTTACCATGACTGTAAAATTTTTGGAGATGTATGTTGTATCATACCATACAAGTGACATGTTATTTTTTGGACTGTCTTTAAATAATCTAGCAATTTTAAAGATAGTTATTTGAAATATTTTTAGTCACACTTCTTATAATTTGTTATATTTTCAAAGACACCCCTATTAGATTAAAGGAGTTAATTAAAATACAATTTTACAAAATTGCCCATGATATATTTTAGGAAAAATTTTATCCACATCCTCTCTAGATAGACATATCTTCAATTAGACCCCTTCTATTTTTTAAATTTTTGTACGTATTAAAATTTAGGCTAATTAAAATTTATTTTTTATATATTAAAATTTAAGTCCATTAAAAATTATATTCTTTTACGTATTAAAATTTGAGCCGATCAAAATTTTATTTGAGACTAAAATCAAATTTTAATCAACTCGTATTAAATTTTAATCTGTTCAATTTTTGATACATAAAAAAATATAAATTAAAAATAATAGAAAAACAATTAAGGATTAAATCAAAAGTCTCACCTCTCCCTTANTAATGGCTAACATTATTAACATCTGGTCCTTTTTAAACTGTACTATAACGTCGAAAAAATGGGACACCAAATTATTCTTTTTTTTCATCCACCCANAACTGTACTATAACGTCGAAAATATGGTACACCAAATTATCCTTTTTTTTCATCCACCCTTTTGTATCACCACATGGTAAAATAATAATGGCTGCCGACTCCATATCCTTTTCCTAATGAAATGACTTGCACCATGTTGAGTCCACCCACAGTCAAGGTGCTAAGTGATAGGTATACGACAATTCGACCACTTATTAGTCACTCCTAGATGGGCTTGCAATAACCCATGTCATAAATCCAACCAACTTCACATATATCTAACACCTTGTAGTCACAGTCACATAGCTGCCACTAAGGCCCACTAGACTTCCTCCTTCATTGCATTTTCCAATTTCTATTTGGATAACGTCCAATGCATGATGTGTTGGGTAAATTTTATCATATATGATTGAATTAGTTTGATAAATTTAATTCACTATGTAATTGAATTTTGGGGAAAGGTTTTAATATAAATCTTATATATATATTATTCCATGCTCCGAAATGATTGAAAAGAGCTCCGTAATGTAATGTTAAATCAAATGTCACTTTTGACAATATTATCTTTCTACGAATGATATATTTGATTTGATGCAAGAACACGATAATAATTTTAATTCTAATCCCGATTCACCAATTTAAATACCACCCTCCATGCAAGTTTCAGTAACTGCAAGTATATGGAGTTGTGCTGCAATGATGACTGTGAGTTCGGATTTGTAAACTTGCCAAGAAAAAAATATTATCAAACATGAGATTTGTGGGTTGTCTGGTTTATTTTATCCAATCTCAACTATATATCACCCCAATCCGGCCAACCAAATGGCTCTTTAATTTTCTCATTATTTTTTCACCAAAGTTAATGAGAATAATTTAGTACACCGTTTGTTTGAAGTCTTAAGTTCTTATACTAATTAGCAATGGTAGCCCTCTGTCCAAGATCAAGTTCTAACAATTATTTTACCATGACTGTAAAATTTTTGGAGATGTATATTGTATCATACCATACAAGTGACATGTTATTTTTTGGACTGTCTTTAAATAATCTAGCAATTTTAAAGATAGTTATTTGAAATATTTTTAGTCACACTTCTTATAATTTATTATATTTTCAAAGACACCCCTATTAGATTAAAGGAGTTAATTAAAATACAATTTTACAAAATTGCCCATGATATATTTTAGGAAAAATTTTATCCACATCCTCTCTAGATAGACATATCTTCAATTAAACCCCTTCTATTTTTAAAATTTTTGTACGTATTAAAATTTAGGCTAATTAAAATTTATTTTTTATATATTAAAATTTAAGTCGATTAAAAATTATATTCTTTTACGTATTAAAATTTGAGCCGATCAAAATTTTATTTGAGACTCAAATCAAATTTTAATCAACTCGTATTAAATTTTAATCTATTCAATTTTTGATACATAAAAAAATATAGATTAAAAATAATAGAAAAACAATTAAGGATTAAATCAAAAGTCTCACCTCTCCCTTAAATTCTTTTTAAGGAGTATCTAGCTAAAACAGCTCTACATTGAACTCATTTATATAAAATAAGTTTAAAATACTTAGAATTATACCTTAATTATATGTATAAAATTAAACTTAAAAATACCTAATAAAAGTTTAATTCAAAATATTAGAGATTAGGGTTCAGAGCAAACCAAGATTAACATTCCAAAACACTTTGTATAATTAAAATTGCAGTTCAATAAATATACTTTAATTTTCTTAAAAATAAAAAATATTTAAATTATTTTGACCCTTTTAAAATAAAATTCCCATGCTTTTGTAGGACCCGGGTTTACCTATTGGCTATTGGTCGTCTCTCAAAAAAATCTAGCATTGATTTCTCTCTCCACCGTGGTATATTAGTGTGACATCCGAAAAATAATGGCGCTGATTGATTGGAGCTGTGTGTGTGTGTGTGAGAGAGAGAGAGAGAGAGNAAATCTAGCATTGATTTCTCTCTCCACCGTGGTATATTAGTGTGACATCCGAAAAATAATGGCGCTGATTGATTGGAGCTGTGTGTGTGTGTGTGTGTGTGAGAGAGAGAGAGAGAGAGAGAGAGAGAGAAGTAAAAAGGCACAGGCAGAGGAGCACAAGAAGCAGAGCCACTCATTGTTATCACACTCGGTCCGTAGCATGACCTCGCATTTCCATTACTAGAAACAATAGCAAAACCGTAGGTTGCCACTTCAACTAACCCAAGCCTTCCCACACCTATACGTACATACAAGCATTTAAGGAGAGATATATCTATATCTGTGGTTGGCTGAATATGCTTGATTTCTGAGCTGGATCTTATGACTTTTCGAGGAAAGATCTGGGTTTTCTAGGGTTTGAGTTGAAGGAATTTTTTGATGCTTTGAAGCTCATGATTAAATAGTTGGGGAATTCTGAGCTCAAGAGCTTTATATGGCTGGGAGTTGTGAGGTTTGGTGGGTTAACACAAGAAAATTGGGAATTTGTGGGGGTTTTGAGAGGGTTTGATCTGAAATGCGGTGGTTGGTTGGTTAAAGATTTCGTCCAAGTAGTTCTTGATAACAACTTGGGATCTTTGGGTTGGGTTGAGAAGATCAAGAACTGATGACGCTGAAATCTTATGTGTTTGGTAGTAAAACTGGTTTTGGTTGACGATTTTGGAGGTGTGTTCGAGCTGTTTTGGTTCATTCCCTACATATGAAGGTTTATGTGCATCAATTTGTTCAATTTTCTTCAAAATATCTGGTGGGTAGTTGGTGGTGGGGGTAGTGTCAACAGTTTCTTCAATATACTTGATATTCAGAATTTCGGGGGTTTTGAAAGGGTAAAGTAGAGGTATTATGGTGTTTTTGGGTGAAAGGCAAGTGATAGAAGTTTTGACTCAGCTCTTTGGGTGGTTAGTTTTGGGGAATTTCCTGCTGATTAGTTGGGGTTAGTGATATTATTTGGTCTGTTTTTGTGGCTCCTGATTTGGGGTTAGGATTTACCATTGAATCTGAGAAATGAGGCTCTCTTCTGCTGGTTTTAATCAGCAATCGCCTGAAGGTATGGTTTTCTTCGCTAGTACATTTGGGCTGTTACTGGGTTTGTTTCCTTTCTGGGTTTAAACTTCTACATCCCTTCCTAAACTGAGATAGGAAGAGTGAGTTTGTTCTCTGACTTAATTATATGAAGCTTTGCTGATTTTCAGTTCTCACGTATTCTTGGTATTGTAAATCGTGATTTCCCTTTCATTCAGTTGGAATAACATATATTTTTTTGCATAATAAGAGACATTTGCTGAATATTTCTAGCTTTATATGGTAATTTGTTTCCCATGGACCCTTAGATGCATTCAATTAAACTGGTTTTTCAAATTGTTAGTTAAATCTAGCCTATGCAACCGCAGGTATAGTTCCCCATTTAATTTACGTTCTTGTGGATTTTCAATTTTCAGGGGAAAGGAGATGTCTCAATTCTGAACTTTGGCATGCATGTGCGGGTCCTCTTGTTTCTCTGCCCGGTGTTGGAAGCCGTGTGGTATATTTTCCTCAGGGTCATAGCGAGCAGGTATGTTTTGTGGATTGGGTTTACTTGTTTCTTGTCTATTGGTTTTATAGATTCAAGCTTGTAGAAGCAGATTCCTTTGCTTTATGTAACGCAGAACATATTTGTTTCTTACTGGAGGAAAAGGAAAAGGTGGTTTGTCTTTTTTGTATCTTTATAAGCACTCCTTTCAATCCTTGATATGAATTATGTCATAACTATTCTGTAGTGTCTAAGATTATGCTTAAATTATGTGGAAGTGGAACCTTGAAATGTTTTTCTGCTCCACCACTCAGCCCTCAAGACATCTGCTTGCTATTATTGCTCACCTTTTTTTTTTTTTTAGATAGCCAGCGTAATTTCTGAGGTAAAGGTCCAACCAAGACAATTCGGCACATATTTATGCCAATGTTNCTTTTTTTTTTTTAGATAGCCAGCGTAATTTCTGCGGTAAAGGTCCAACCAAGACAATTCGGCACATATTTATGCCAATGTCTACTTCTTTACTGCTTTATGGGCATTTCTCATCACATACTGGTGATGCATTTGCTAGTGATGTCCCTTCTGCGTATTGGAGTGATAAAGCATTTTAAAGGATTCCCTTCTGTTTTTCAGCTGGCTCTTGCAGATCCCACCTTTTTTTGCTTTTCTTGTTTGTTTTAGTTTTCTTATTCTTGTTGTTTTTTCCTTTCCAACTAATACTTGTGTAAATGGCAAGTGAGCTCTTAGTGACAGTGGAATGATACAATCACATATAGAAAAGATTATTAATGGTGTGGATTCAACATTTCTTAATGCATTCTCTGTAGGTTGCTGCATCAACCAACAAGGAAGTGGATGCTCACATCCCCAACTACCCAAGCTTACCTCCCCAACTTATCTGCCAGCTTCACAATTTGACCATGCATGTAAGCGCCTTTAGTACTGTTCTTGTTGCTAAATATCTTTACAGGCTGCTTCTGGGGACTCAGTTTTTTTTTACTTCAGGCTGATGTGGAGACAGATGAGGTCTACGCTCAAATGACCTTGCAACCGCTGAGCCCTGTATGTTACTCCGCCTTAACCTATGATTGCTTTATCTTCTGTCTTAGTTCTAATATTTCTCCTAAACCATTCCTGTAGCAAGAGCAAAAAGAGGCCTTCCTTCCCGCAGATTTGGGTGCACCCAACAAACAGCCGACAAATTACTTTTGTAAAACACTGACAGCAAGTGACACAAGTACTCATGGTGGATTTTCCGTTCCTCGCCGTTCAGCTGAAAAAGTGTTTCCTCCGCTGGTAAATCTTTATTTGTTGCTATGGAGATAATCCGTCCAGTTTTGAGATGTCAATGCACTAATTATCCTTTTTGTTCAAAATTATAGGACTTCTCCCAGCAACCTCCAGCCCAAGAATTGATTGCAAGGGATTTGCATGATAATGAATGGAAATTCAGACACATATTTCGTGGTGTGTTTCCCCCTCCCTCCCCCCAACTCCCCAGAAAAATAAGAAAAGAAGCTGATGCGTAAATCCTATCTTTGTTTTAATTGATGGATTGGGCTATTTTTCCTGCTCTACTTCGTTTCTGATCACCTTTTCATGTCTTGCCTCATTTTCAAAATCACCAAGTTTTCCTCCTTGAATTATTATCAACGGATGCTCTAGACTTTATCCCTGTTACATCTTCTAATTCTAGATGGTGGAGTTTCCAGTTTGAATGTTGTTAAGTGAATTGCTCCCATGATGGACTTGAAAATTTGTTGAAGGGCAGGGGAATGAATCGTGCGCGCGCGCTCGCGGGGGGAGGGGGGGGGGAAGTTACATGCCCCTTTGAAGTGACAGATTCTCTTCCCAGCTGTTGTTTACAGATGATTCACTTTCACTTTTTTGGAAGTTGGAGCTTCTTGCTTGTGCATCATANGGGGGGGGGGGGGGGGGGGGGGGGGGAAGTTACATGCCCCTTTGAAGTGGCAGATTCTCTTCCCAGCTGTTGTTTACAGATGATTCACTTTCACTTTTTGGGAAGTTGGAGCTTCTTGCTTGTGCATCATATCTATCATTAAGTCCTCCATGGAATTTGCTAACATATACTTGCAAATTGAAGTGCTAAGTTTCATGTCATTTGAAACCAGCCTTGCTTTCTACCCTGCATGAAACATCATCGTTCAATAGGGCATTAAATTTACTGTGCTATAGGATTCAATGAACCTTTCTTCTTGAGTGGATGATTTTCTGAGTAGTAATCTAACTTAATCGTCTCCACTGATATTTTGTGCTTGTTATTTTCTATCGTGAAATATTAAAGTTGTCGGGTACGTCTTGGAAAATGGCACTGGCAAATCAAATTTTGCAAGGTTTGGAAATTTACTGTGTGATTCTTAGCCATTGTTGTTTATTATTCTTACTGCAGGCCAGCCCAAGAGACATCTTCTTACAACAGGTTGGAGTGTGTTTGTTAGTGCAAAAAGACTTGTTGCTGGTGATTCGGTCCTTTTCATATGGTAGGCAGTTGGCTGTCATACTGTATTGACTTTCTCTCATCTTTTCCTTGATGGCATTGCTGAGTATACTTTCTGCTCTGTGAATTCCTATGATGCTATGCATTGTGTTATAAATTATAATAGCTAAAAATACTGAAGAAACATTTCATTTGACTTGTATTCTCTTCAATCAGGAATGAGAAAAATCAATTGCTTCTTGGTATACGACGTGCCCATCGTCCACAGACTGTTATGCCTTCTTCAGTTTTATCTAGTGATAGCATGCACTTGGGACTTCTTGCTGCTGCTGCTCATGCGGCTGCGACTAACAGCCGTTTCACCATATTTTATAATCCTAGGTATGTCTCTTTGCATGGTAGGAAACATTATTTTTGAAGTCTTCCTTATGTTTTCATTTATATCACCTTCTTGTATTCAGGGCTAGTCCGTCAGAATTCGTCATACCTCTGGCCAAGTATGTTAAAGCGGTCTATCACACACGAGTTTCGGTTGGTATGCGCTTTCGGATGCTGTTTGAAACTGAAGAATCAAGTATCCGTCGGTAGGTTCTGTACTTCCTGTTGAAGATGGTGATTAACATTTATCCCATTTTGAGCTTTTGCTCTTATATTATTGAGGCTTAGGATTGCAAACTAGACTTCTGCCTGGGACCTCTTGTAGAAGCAAGTGTGGTGGCAGATATTACTAGGTTTGCAACCTTAGCTCCTCTTCATCTTTTTGGCTAAAAAAAGCTCAAAATAGTTGGAAAGCATGCTGGACAGATCTTTGCCTTTATTGGCAGGAATTCTCTATGTTAGTTATGAGGAAATCAGCACAAAGGAAGTTTTAGGAAGTTTTGAGGATGATGTAACATGCTGAGTTACTGTTGAAGGCTGCAGTTTTTGTAGACTTTCTTTTCAAGCACATTGACTTCTTGCATTGAAATAGGATGAGAATGCTGGAATGGTGGATATAACTCACCTGGTCTTGTTTAATTTGATGTAACTCCTTTTTGGTAAAATATCTACTCAGAATTTTTTTAGATATGAACATTGCTAGGATAGTCACTAAATTTATCAAACAATCTTACTAATTTTCTAGGCAAGCTGGCGCCGCTAGTCTACTTTGTTTGTTTTTTTTTTTTGTTTTGTTACANATCTACTCAGAATTTTTTTAGATATGAACATTGCTAGGATAGTCACTAAATTTATCAGACAATCTTACTAATTTTCTAGGCAAGCTGGCGCCGCTAGTCTACTTTGTTTGTTTTTTTTTTTTGTTTTGTTACGTTGATTTTATTGTTTTCATTTGGGTAAGTAATATTTGATTCTTTTGATACGTAGTTGAAATTTGTAGATATCAGTAGTTGTCATCTAACAATTGTGTTATTCAGCTATATGGGAACCATAACTGGCATAAGTGACTTGGATCCTGTTCGGTGGTCAAACTCGCATTGGCGTTCAGTGAAGGTATGTTGTCGGTAATATCGATCTTTGACTGACCTCTAGCTTTTTTTTTGTTTTGTTTTTTTCCAATTATTGTGAACGGGACATGTGACTTGGTAAACAAATACTTGGATACCTTATGACCAAGTTGTTCCTGCGATAAATAAAGCACATGGGGACATATAGAAGCATATTCTAACTGACTTTTAACTTGATTAATGCAGGTTGGCTGGGATGAGTCTACAGCTGGGGAGAGGCAGCCTAGAGTGTCCCTATGGGAGATTGAACCTTTGACCACATTCCCCATGTTCCCATCCCCGTTTCCTTTGAGACTCAAGCGACCATGGCCTCCAGGATTACCCTCTTTCAATGGTACCTTGTCCACTTGTTATTTTGTGCTCAATTCCTCCTCTTTTTTTTTTTTTAAGAATGGGAATCTCGTGAGTTTCATCCATGCCATATGAGAAGGATGAACAACCACATAGCAATAGTTTATTACGTGAATAGAGGGGCACAAATATTGTTTTGTAATCTCCATCTTTTGTTTGCTCTTAGGGATTAAGGATGATGATCTAGGAATGACTTCTCCACTTATGTGGCTTCGTGGAGATGCTGTAGACCGTGGAATCCAATCCCTCAATTTTCAAGGAATCGGGGTCACACCCTGGATGCAGCCGAGACTTGATGCCTCCATGATTGGTATGCAACCTGACATTTACCAAGCTATGGCTGCTGCGGCTGCTCTTCAGGAGATGAGAGCTGTGGATGCTTCCAAACAGGCACTTCCATCGCTTATGCAATTCCAGCAACCACAAAGTGGCAGGCTTGCGGCTCTAGTTCAGCCTCAGATCTTGCAGCAATCTCAGTCTCAACCAACTTTTCTTCAAAGCATTCCAGAAAACCAGGCTCAGGCTCAGGCTCAGGCTCTGCAACATCCATTGCAGCATCAGAACTCATTCAATCAGCAGCAGCAGCAGCTGTCACGACTACAACAGCAGCAACAGCATCTGGTTGATAATCAGCAGGTCTCAAGTGTTGTACCTGCCTTGTCTCAATATGCTTCAAGCTCTCAAGCCCAGTCACCTTCACTGCAAACCATCTGTTCCATGCAACAGCAGAGCTTTTCTGACTCTAATGGGAATCTGGCAACCAATCCTATTGCTTTTCCTCTGCCTGGTCTTTTACATTCATTCCCCCATGATGAAACATCTCAGCTTCTCAACTTGCCTAGATCCAGTCCCTTAGTATCATCTGGTGGCTGCCCAACAAAGAGGGTCGCAGTTGATCCTCTTCTTTCTTCTGGAGGAACACAATGTATGCTGCCCCAGGTGGAACAGTTAGGACCACCACATACAAACATTTCGCAGAATACTATTTCATTGCCACCATTTCCGGGAAGGGAGTGCCCCATTGATCAAGAAGGGAGCAATGATCCCCAAAGCCACCTATTGTTTGGGGTTAATATAGATTCCTCGTCACTTCTCATGCAGAATGGGATGTCGGGCCTTAGGGGAATTGGTAGTGATAGTGATTCTACCACTATACCATTTGCTTCTTCCAATTTTATAAATTCTGCAGGCACTGATTTTTCACTTAATCCAGCAATGACGCCGTCCAGTTGTATTGTTGAATCAGGTTTTCTGCAGTCCCCTGAAAACGTGGGGCAAGCAAACCCACCAACCCGGACCTTTGTTAAGGTGAATTACTTTCTGTGGCTTGGTGTGATTTATGACGGTAAATTGCACATCATTTTTCATCTTCCTTTCATGATGATTTGTTTTGCAGTTCGGTCTTTCTTTCCCCATTTCATCCTCCAAAACACAGCTGTACCAAAAATATTTGCATTTTTTCCTGTTAATTTTCCAGTTTCTGTCATTATAGCTGTGATCTACATGCGGCTTTCATACACATTTGTGTGCATTATCTTTCTTGGTTTCTGATCTTGACATGACTACAACTGGCAGGTTCACAAATCAGGGTCCTTTGGAAGGTCATTAGATATCACCAAATTCAGCAGCTACAATGAGCTACGCAGTGAGCTTGCTCAAATGTTCTGCCTTGAAGGCCAACTGGAGGACCCTCTGAGATCAGGCTGGCAGCTTGTATTTGTCGACCGGGAGAATGATGTTCTTCTCCTTGGTGATGACCCCTGGCCGTGAGTTTCCAGTCTTTACTGTTTCTACATGAAATTATTTAACTGGCATGCATGGCTAATATCTGAGTTTCAAGTCCTCTATGTGGCATTTCAATGCAAAAAAATTCTTGAAAGTTTAACTCAATGATCACTGATTTTTTGGCAATCTCTGGACAAACTAAAATCACAAAGAGCAATTAGGGGAGAGGTGCAGCATGTAGATAATACCATATTTATGTATTTGATGTATATAATTTTTGAGGTTGGCATCTTCAAAATAAAAATATTTGCTTTACCATGGGTAAATTTATATTCCCGTTTCAATACTATTTTGGTGTCTAGAACGATTCATTATTTTTTCCTTTTTGTTATGTTTTGGTACGTGGTACCCCATTGTGTAATGCTTCTCACCATTACAGGGAGTTTGTAAATAGCGTCTGGTGTATCAAAATACTCTCACCGCAAGAGGTGCAGCAGATGGGCAAAGAGCTTCTAAACTCAGTCCCAGTTCCGAGGCTTCCAAATAACAGTTGCGATGACTATGCGAGCCGACAAGAATCAAGAAATTTGAGCTCTGGGATCACATCTGTGGGGTCTCTTGATTACTGAAACAATTTAACCAGTTAAGCTACCTTTCTCTCTATTGTAATATTAATATTTCTTCCAATACCTATATGGTGGGAAGAAATGCATGATTTTAGCTTGAAGCTTACTTGAAATCTGATACTGTAATTATGCTATATCTTCCTCTTTCTGTGTTATAAATTCCAAGCCGTATTTTGTAGGATATTACTGTTTCCTGTAGATGGCAGTTTTTACTTTCTTGCAATATATTTATGACAAGCTGAAGTTTATTCGGACTTTGACATGACCCTAACTGATGCAGTTGGCTTGTTAATTTTAAGTTAATAATGCTCGCTTTTTGGATTTCAATACCATGAATGTTCTTTAGGGGAGATTTGACAAACTACTATCTTCCCTGCTCCAATGGGTTCTTGATTTTGGGAACAGGTCACACTGCAACAGCTCTAGTTCCTATGTACTATGTACTATAGGTGCATATAATCTTTACTTTACCATNGTGAGCTTGCTCAAATGTTCTGCCTTGAAGGCCAACTGGAGGACCCTCTGAGATCAGGCTGGCAGCTTGTATTTGTCGACCGGGAGAATGATGTTCTTCTCCTTGGTGATGACCCCTGGCCGTGAGTTTCCAGTCTTTACTGTTTCTACATGAAATTATTTAACTGGCATGCATGGCTAATATCTGAGTTTCAAGTCCTTTATGTGGCATTTCAATGCAAAAAAATTCTTGAAAGTTTAACTCAATGATCACTGATTTTTTGGCAATCTCTGGACAAACTAAAATCACAAAGCGCAATTAGGGGAGAGGTGCAGCATGTAGATAATACCATATTTATGTATTTGATGTATATAATTTTTGAGGTTGGCATCTTCAAAATAAAAATATTTGCTTTACCATGGGTAAATTTATATTCCCGTTTCAATACTATTTTGGTGTCTAGAACGATTCATTATTTTTTCCTTTTTGTTATGTTTTGGTACGTGGTACCCCATTGTGTAATGCTTCTCACCATTACAGGGAGTTTGTAAATAGCGTCTGGTGTATCAAAATACTCTCACCGCAAGAGGTGCAGCAGATGGGCAAAGAGCTTCTAAACTCAGTCCCAGTTCCGAGGCTTCCAAATAACAGTTGCGATGACTATGCGNGGTAAATTGCACATCATTTTTCATCTTCCTTTCATGATGATTTGTTTTGCAGTTCGGTCTTTCTTTCCCCATTTCATCCTCCAAAACACAGCTGTACCAAAAATATTTGCATTTTTTCCTGTTAATTTTCCAGTTTCTGTCATTATAGCTGTGATCTACATGCGGCTTTCATACACATTTGTGTGCATTATCTTTCTTGGTTTCTGATCTTGACATGACTACAACTGGCAGGTTCACAAATCAGGGTCCTTTGGAAGGTCATTAGATATCACCAAATTCAGCAGCTACAATGAGCTACGCAGTGAGCTTGCTCAAATGTTCTGCCTTGAAGGCCAACTGGAGGACCCTCTGAGATCAGGCTGGCAGCTTGTATTTGTCGACCGGGAGAATGATGTTCTTCTCCTTGGTGATGACCCCTGGCCGTGAGTTTCCAGTCTTTACTGTTTCTACATGAAATTATTTAACTGGCATGCATGGCTAATATCTGAGTTTCAAGTCCTCTATGTGGCATTTCAATGCAAAAAAATTCTTGAAAATTTAACTCAATGATCACTGATTTTTTGGCAATCTCTGGACAAACTAAAATCACAAAGAGCAATTAGGGGAGAGGTGCAGCATGTAGGNCTAACTCCTTTTTAACATTTGTGGGGTTGGGAGGGTCTTTTTTCAAAGGAAATTGACACTGATAAGAACAGTTTTGAGCCCCCTGGTCTGTCACAGACCAGGAGTTATTCATCTTGTTTAACATGTGGGCTGTACAGTTCAAAGTTGTGGTCGTTTTGTGTTGTGGTGGGGCTGGAAAGGCTTTTTAGATGAGCATAGTGGTGGTGGTGACTGGTGATGGCATGTGCACTATGAATTGTATGAGATTCTTGAGATGATGAGGAATTGACTGGATTTAATTGGAAACTTGGTGGGTAGCAATATATCTTGAAGATTTGGGTAATTTTTATTTCTCGATTTGAAGGAACTACAAGGGTTGTCTGTGCATTTATATTGTGTCGTTTTGTTTAAGATTCGTGTTAGATTCGTGTTGAGTACTAATCAAACCTAAATCAAGACATTTAATTACTCCTCCGAGAGGTTTTATATCTAATATGACTTGTTTATTGTGCTGTGGATAATTGAAATCCCAAACTAAGATCTTTTTCAAGCAAATTTACCATCATAATCAATTTGATGTATAAGCTAAAAATATTCAATTCTATAAAGCTTCAAGCAAATATAATATCAGAATATAAAGAATCAAAATTAGGTAGTTTATGTTTGGACACAATTTAATTTGTTTATGATTTGTGTTAAATAGGTTGCATCATTGATGGGTTTGTATTAAAAAATAGGGAATTTTTATTTTTTGGTCGGTCACTATTATATGGGAGAGGGACGACAAAGTTTGAATCTGCGATCTTCAGGTTTAATAGGCCGGGTGGTGGCAATTAAACTAACTGTTAACATCCAAAAAAGAAAAAGTGGACAATTCTACCGTGCTAATTTTGTGTCAAAAAGTAGAACCAAAATTATCATAGTGGAATTGTCTACTTTTTGTCATCCCTAATGAACATCTACCTAGAAAAATAAAGGGTGGCCTGATTAGGATCCCTTGTAGGATGGGAGTGAAAAGACGGAGCCCCGCCTAGTGGCTGGATGGGCAAAAACCTGATGAACACTCTAGCCATGACTCCAAGACCATAGTCATTACAGGATAGTCTGACTAGTCATACCATAAAAAAATATATAAAAAAATGTTCTAATATATAATGCACCAAAGAAAAAGATATAATGCACTCGGCGGGTCATCACTAGTTCAACCGGTCAGATCATTTAAATCTTAGCGGGTTTGTATAAAAGTAGTGCAATGTTAAACCAGCCCGGTCTAACCATCGGGTCACTAAGTTTACCCGGTGTACCGGACCATGTCTAACTANCAAGACCATAGTCATTACAGGATAGTCTGACTAGTCATACCATAAAAAAATATATAAAAAAATGTTCTAATATATAATGCACCAAAGAAAAAGATATAATGCACTCGGCGGGTCATCACTGGTTCAACCGGTCAGATCATTTAAATCTTAGCGGGTTTGTATAAAAGTAGTGCAATGTTAAACCAGCCCGGTCTAAGCATCGGGTCACTAAGTTTACCCGCTGTACCGGACCATGTCTAACTATTAACAGGGTTAGCCAGCCTAGCCCAAGGCTGAGTGACATGCCGAACTTGTGACGGCCCAATTTTGAATTTGAGATTCCAGGCTCTGCCCTTGGGAATTTGATCCTACCCAGAGATTTTACCAGCTAGGCTAGCTGATACTTTAAGGGCATGCTTGGTTCAGGAATAAACAAAAGGGGAAATTGTAAAAATGTATACCCTTTCATACTTATTTGTGTAAAAATATCTCAACATAAAACATATATGTACTAGTTATTACATGTACTTAAAAGCACATAGTAATAAAAAATGATAAACAATAAACATATTTGTATTCATATTTAAAATCAAATCACAAATATAGATAAGAGATAAAAGAATTTAAGTATCGATTTATAGTGGGGGTGAGAGATGGTGAGCAGCAGTGATAGTGGTAGGAGACGGTGATGATTGTGGCGGGTGACAATGATCNGGGGCGACAACGGTAGTGGTGATGATGGCGACGACAATGGTGGTGGTAGTGGTGGTTGTGGTTGTGGTAGAGATAGTAGTGGACCGGTTTTAAACACTATTTTTTTAAAAGTATTTATGAGAAATAATTTTTAAAAATATTTTTAAAAAATCACTCNGGGGCGACAACGGTAGTGGTGATGATGGCGACGACAATGGTGGTGGTAGTGGTGGTTATGGTTGTGGTAGAGATAGTGGTGGACCGATTTTAAACACTATTTTTTAAAAAGTATTTATGAGAAATAATTTTTAAAAATATTTTTAAAAAATCACTCCAAGCACACCCTTAAAGGCCTATTTTTCCTATTAAATTTAGAGTGTTAATATTAACCGTTAGATTAATTTTAAAGTAAAATTTAAAACGATCTCAACCGCGAGTAACAAAAATAATTTTGTTTATCTTTTAATATTTGAATTGTAAGTTACTTTATTATATAGATAAGTACATTTATGTATAAATGATTGGTAAAGAGGTACACTTTTAACAAATTATAATTTTTTCTCTTATTAAATTGTTATTTTTCTTTATTAATTGGAGACAAATATGACAGTTATATTAGAGATTTAGTTTCCTAATTTTATACTATCTTTTTTGAATTTTAAATTATCTATTCATGTGTGATTGACCAACCATTTATTCAAACATTTCATACCTATTCCTCTATCATTCAAACCTCTTCCTCTGTCATTCACTTCATTCTGTAACACCAGGTTTTCAAACATATTCCAATTAGTTGCAATGGAAGAAGTGCATCAGGTATGTTGTCCATATGTTTTTTTTTTTTTTAAAAAAAATCGTTACGATCTCTTAACATCAATCATGTTTATGTGAGGATAACTATCAATGATGATGACTCAAATAGGGATGATCGTAATAATCAAGATGATGATTTTGATTCAAATGATGATTTGCTACCTCGCACGATAATGTCACAGTACAACAAGACAGNTGGTGGCAATGACAGTGGTGGTGGTGTGGGTGGCGGCGACGACGATGGTGGGGTGGGGTGACAGCGGTGGGGTAATGGTGGTGACGGCTACGGTGGTGGTGGTGGTTGTGGTGGTGGGGTGGTGGCGATGGGGGGGGCGACAACGGTAGTGGTGATGATGGCGACGACAATGGTGGTGGTAGTGGTGGTTATGGTTGTGGTAGAGATAGTGGTGGACCGATTTTAAACACTATTTTTTAAAAAGTATTTATGAGAAATAATTTTTAAAAATATTTTTAAAAAATCACTCCAAGCACACCCTTAAAGGCCTATTTTTCCTATTAAATTTAGAGTGTTAATATTAACCGTTAGATTAATTTTAAAGTAAAATTTAAAACGATCTCAACCGCGAGTAACAAAAATAATTTTGTTTATCTTTTAATATTTGAATTGTAAGTTACTTTATTATATAGATAAGTACATTTATGTATAAATGATTGGTAAAGAGGTACACTTTTAACAAATTATAATTTTTTCTCTTATTAAATTGTTATTTTTCTTTATTAATTGGAGACAAATATGACAGTTATATTAGAGATTTAGTTTCCTAATTTTATACTATCTTTTTTGAATTTTAAATTATCTATTCATGTGTGATTGACCAACCATTTATTCAAACATTTCATACCTATTCCTCTATCATTCAAACCTCTTCCTCTGTCATTCACTTCATTCTGTAACACCAGGTTTTCAAACATATTCCAATTAGTTGCAATGGAAGAAGTGCATCAGGTATGTTGTCCATATGTTTTTTTTTTTTTTAAAAAAAATCGTTACGATCTCTTAACATCAATCATGTTTATGTGAGGATAACTATCAATGATGATGACTCAAATAGGGATGATCGTAATAATCAAGATGATGATTCTGATTCAAATGATGATTTGCTACCTCGCACGATAATGTCACAGTACAACAAGACAATATTATACTGATACTAGAAAATGTCACACTGCATACATTGATATTCACAATGAAACAATAAAAAACCCCACTACTTGTGAACAGTGGATTCACTTCAACAACAATCAACAAGAAGTTTTGAAAATTGGAAAAGAAGTTTTATGAAATTTTTGAAAAAATGGGGTTTCAGACAATAGAGATTTATGTGTAATAGTTGAAATCCCTTAAGTTTCGATTATAGAAGTAAAAATATAAGAATTAGTTCCATTTTACTAAAGGGGCCATTTTAAGAATTTGTTAGATGTTGTATACTTTTTAACTTATATTTTTAAAAGTGCTACTTTCTGTCATATAATTCTAAAAAAAGATACCGGCCCTCTTAAAACCCTAAGCAAAAAATAGGATTGAGTAATTAATTTTTATTTAATTCATATAAATGATATTTGTGTAACAAGTTTTGATCAAGATTAGAATAATATATAAATTTATAATTATAATACCAAATTTATGTTTGAATTAAATAATAATGTATATTATTAAATTGAAAATAACCAAAGAAATATTGAGAACAAAAATTTACATAATGTATANTAACTATCAATGATGATGACTCAAATAGGGATGATCGTAATAATCAAGATGATGATTCTGATTCAAATGATGATTTGCTACCTCGCACGATAATGTCACAGTACAACAAGACAATATTATACTGATACTAGAAAATGTCACACTGCATACATTGATATTCACAATGAAACAATAAAAAACCCCACTACTTGTGAACAGTGGATTCACTTCAACAACAATCAACAAGAAGTTTTGAAAATTGGAAAAGAAGTTTTATGAATTTTTTGAAAAAATGGGGTTTCAGACAA